GTTGTAAGTTGTAAGTGAGAGAATATTTATTATAACACTAAATTATATCACACCTATAAGATAGGTGAGAGAATATTTTCTGTTAAATAATATATTTATATAGTTTGTTATGAAATAATTTAGTAGTAAAAGATATGTATGCCAACAGAAATTTTTATTTTTTATTTTTATTTTAAAACATATAAAACTATAAGTTTTAATAATCTAAAATTATTATACAATAATATTTATTTATATATATTTTTTGAATTAGTCATTGGTATCCGATCTATTGATTGACTAATCCATATCGGGTACTGTAGAGGCGAGGGCCATCCTCTCAACCCAATTTTGCTCTATTCGCAAACACCAAGATTTGAACCCCTGGCATTGCTTAAAAGACATAGTGACTCATCTCACTAGATCAACTGGTTGTTGGTATTTATTTATATTTTTTAATCATTAATAATATATATATCTCAAATATAATTAATTATATTTTAAATGATAACAATACTTCCTTTGTTAACGTAAGATAAATAGAAATCTTTGAAATTTGTGTAATTATTATATTCAATATCAATCGAAGCTGCATGAATCAAGCGATTTAAGTGTTAAATGAATTGTTGTTATTTTTTTATCTCGAGTTCGAGTATAATAAATATCAAGAATGTAAGCATTTAATGTCAAATAATTAAAAGTTATATTTGAATAGAAAATACCTTGTACTTAGCTCAGCTTAATTAAAAAAAAATATCAATTGAAGCTGATCAATTGTTCAATTAGAAATATGATCCCCTGATAAATATAAAAGAAATGGTTTAATTATGGATCCAGCCCGCTTTTAGATCCTGTATCTAGCCCTTTCATGCTTCTCTTACCAGCTTTCATTTTTGTAAACCGTCTTAACTTTTTCCGTTTAATTATCAGCTCCCCGCCTCGCTCCCTACCCACCAAAATCTGTACTTTTCTTTGTTGTCGTTGAAAATTGCAGGAAACCAAATCCATCTTATTAAAGTCTAAATTTAGGGTTGTAACGAGTTGAGTCGGGCCCGAATATCTGTGTTTGACTCGATTTGAAACTCTAAAATAGAGTTCGACATGATTTGAAAATCCGTGAGCCTGAAACTTTTAAATTCGATTTGAACTCAAAACTATAAATTAAAATTTGAAAAAACTCGAAATAAAAACAATCTTAAATTTAACTTGATTGATGGTCAGTTTGGCATTGCTTTTAAACAATGATTTTTAAAAATGATGTAGAAACGAGTTGAGTCGGGCCCGAATATATGTGTTTGACTCGATTTGAAACTCTAAAATCGAGTTCGACATGATTTGAAAATCCGTGAGCCTGAAACTTTCAAATTCGATTTGAACTCAAAACTATAAATTAAAATTTGAAAAAACTCGAAATAAAAACAATCTTAAATTTAACTTGATTGATGGTCAGTTTGGCATTGCTTTTAAACAATGATTTTTAAAAATGATGTAGAAACGAACTTTTAAAAGGATATTTAAAAATACAGTTTAAAATTTAATTGTTTGAGATTACTGTTAAAAAATGAGTTTGAAAAGATAAAATATGTATTATATTTTTATTATAGTTTAAATTGATACGATTCATATATATATATGAATCGTATCAATTTAAACTATAATAAAAAAATACAAATAAAAAATATAATTATAATAAAAATATATTTTATATAACTTACTATTAATATATATATATATATATATCTGTATAATTATATATTTTATACAAATAAAAAAATATAATTATAATAAAAATACAAATAAATGTTAATATTATGAATAATTTATTTATCTTTTAAATAAATCTTAATATATTATATTTTCGAGTTTCAAAAAACTCGTTTCGGTTCGTTATGAATCTAAGTCGAATTTAAGCTTGAGTCGAAGTCATTCGAATAAATTATTTATCAAACTTTGACTGAATCAATCTCGAGTAGGTGTAAAAAAAAATCGCCTTCCATATGGAGCACAAGATTCTCTATCTACTAGCATATACGGTTCTTTTACCAGCTTGTAATGGTGTAACGGGATACACAGCTTTTGCGCAAGTCCTACAATTTGATGGATAGTTGTTCCCATCTTCTTCCTTTGATTTTAAGCATTTGTAAAACTCAAATGGAGCATCACCTTCGTGGCTGCATCCTGCATGGTTTTAAGCAAAAACGACGAGGGACAAAAGAGAGCTTGTACTTATTGCCTAGTAAACAGTTTTGAGGCTAGGAACACATTCTTTTTGTTTTTCTTCACCTTTTAATTCCTAGGGTTAAGCTCATATAAATACCTGTATATGAACTACCTAAATGTAACTCCATTTTAATTTTGTGGGGCTGAAAATCTGTTGTGAAATAGAATATTGTTTTGATAAACGGTGGCAAATATTTCGAAATTAAGCAGCTGTCATGGATTTGATCATAGATTAATGATCCATAAGGTGCTAAGCTTTTTAAAGCGTAAACATGTTGGCGGAAAGCGTTGTCTAGCTGTATTTCGAATGTAAACCTGACCTCACTGATAAAGTTAAGAAAGCAACCCTTTTGCATAATATACAAGATTCAGATTGGATTCCTTGAAAGTAGGTCAAAGATGTGTTTCTTTATACTCGCTTTCCAACATGTCTGGCCGAAAGGAATGCAATAATGTAACTGGGATCCGCATTGTCTGCCTCATGAAAGCATATTCTCGGTTCTCAATCATGGCTGATGCTTTCCGATTTCCATAATAAATCCGAGGCACTTATTTCATAGGATTTCACCCAAGGGTACTCTGGTCATTCTCTTTCATTTGGGTTCCTGTCCACAAAGTTATCTGTCCTTCATATGCACAGGTAAAAGAAGAACTATAATTTCTCATAATTACATGATATTAAAAGTCCCAATCATCATTCCTCGACGTAAAAAAAAAAAGTCCCAATCATCATTGTACGGTACATATATCTGTAGGTCTTTCCTGTTGGGTGGTGCATTTATATCTCAATAGCTGAAGCAAAGCCAATTAAGTACCATACATTCGGATAGGAACTGCTACTTCCCCCTGTTTATTTTCTTCTGGTTTATATTTGTAGATTGTTTTGCCCTTTATTTTCCCCTCCCTTGAAAAGTACGACTGTACGAGCGTTGGAAAAGGGGAGCTAGTTAACAGACGTTACAGGCCCCTAAAAATTACTGTTGAGACTGGGATTTTTACCCACGCCCTTTCGGACCAGAACCTTAATCTGGCGCCTTAGACCAACTCGGCCATCTCAACACTGGAGGCATAGATGAATGATAAACATATATATTGTATTGTACTGTCCTTCTCCAGCCCACCCCAAGAGATCGACGACTCGCATGCATATTGTAAGGTAAACTACACAAACTGTCGTAATGTATGGGTTATTTTTTTTATCAAAGTTCGAGAACTTACATTTTAATTATTAATATATTGATTCTTAATAAAATGATTAATCAACCGCTAATATATGACACGTTAGAAAAAATGTTTTAATTTTAAAAAATACACATCAATATATTGATTTGTTACAGTGACTGGACATAAGTATCAGGGACTTCTTTCTTACATGATAGGTTCATTGCTAACTCATGTTTCTTTTGCGAACGCTTTTCTATGCAAATTTTTTGGTTGGACTCCGGTGAACGAAGTCCCGCTCTCTTATGCTTCAACCTTATCATGCTTCTGGTTTTAACGCCTATAGTTCGAGTATTACCTACACCAATCCTTGACTGATCCTCATTCTTAGATTCCACTATTATCTTGCTCATTGGAATTGAATACCACATATAATCTATGTAGCATTCTCGACAACCTTAATCTTTTTATGGCAATTCAAAATTTTACCATTAGAGGTAATACAAGGACGGACTTTTGGGTGTTTATTTTCTATGTTTGAATCAATGGAAATAATTACATTTTGAGAATCATGGATACTCAACTTCTGCATCATGAGATCGAAAACTGACTATGAGATTCTCCCGCAAGAAAATTAGGGACATGAGACAAGGACAAAGAATGTCTTGCTATGCAACCATCGCCAAAAGACATGATGGGTTCACTGTTGCATTTGCTGAAATTATTCAGATTAATAGAATATGTATTCTTCTCTTTTCTTTGCTTTTTATTCTAAATTAGAATTTTTAAAATAGGGTTTAACGTTAACAATCAGAAAACTAAGCATTGTCAACTCAGCCTTCTTCACGTACATCATCAAATAATGAATGTTAACAGTTAAGCGATTTACAAATAAATAACGTTAACAATCGAAATGTAATTTTTTTAAACTTTAATGATGAAAAAAACTAATTTAAGTAGTAATGACCGTCCGTATAATTTATCCATATTATATATAAATAATAAATAAAAATGTCAGATTGCAGAGTAATTGTCTCTTCTGCTGCATCATTATTTGATATTTTGATTTCTTTACGTCGGCTCACACTTTCACCCTAACTAATAATAAGGACAAACTACACAGATGACCGCTCAATAAATCATTTTAACTACTAATATTTTAATTTGATTATACATACCACTCAACTATTTAAATGGTTAATCAAGTTATTGGCCGTTAACTTTTAACGATAGAGGTGATGTGACAGTTAAAATTTAACCGAGAGATTGACTCTTCAGTTAACTTTTTGGTATAATTATATTTTTTTGTCCTTGTTACTTACTCAAGATGTCGATTTGATCCTAATTTTAGTTAAATTCAATAAATTTAATCCTCTAATTAAATTACGACATGAGTCAATTTCTAATTGGAGGCTAAGTTTATTTTAATTTGTTTTTAATTTAATAAATTTATTTTTCTCTAATAAAATGGTGACATGTGTCATCCTCTTGGAAGAAAATAAACCAAAGGTGGATAAAGGGAATCAAACCCAACACCATTGGGTGGAGAAGTAGAAGTCTAACCACTGAGCCAAAGGAAGAAATTTGAATGCCAGATTCAGTTTATCTTGTTTCAAAGACAAGATTTTTTTTTTTTTGTGTTTTTGGTCATAAGAAGAAATGGATGAGGTCTTGTTGATTCCCAGATTCATCAGAAGAATTTTCATGTTGTTTAGTCTTTGGTTCCTATGCATCCCTGTTGGAGTCATCTGCAGCACTGTGAATGTTTCAGCTTCTTCGAACTCTTCTTCTTCTTCTTTGAAGCCAAAAGTTATAAATATTGGAGCTTTGTTCACGTTGAATTCAGTCATTGGAAGAGCAGCACAGCCTGCAATTGAAGCCGCCATTGATGACGTCAACTCCAATCCCAACATTCTTAATGGGGTTCAATTGAAACTCATTGTCCGTGACACAAATTGCAGTGGATTTGTTGGAACCATGGAAGGTATGTGTTTTTTCTCTTACATACCCTTCAGTTTGTGCCTAAAATGTCCGGTACTAGTGGTTACTGTAATATAGAAATCTATTAGGTTGCACTGCTGTTCTGTTTTAAACAGATATTATTGATGATCATGAGACTTTAGCCTGTTGTCTTTGTTTGTGTAGCTTTGCAGCTAATGGAGAGTGATGTTCTCGTCGCGATCGGTTCGCAATCATCCGGTATAGCTCATGTCATCTCCCATGTTGTTAAAGAGCTTCATGTCCCTCTTCTCTCGTTTGGAGCAACGGATCCGACTCTTTCGTCGGTGCAGTACCCATATTTCATCCGGACTACGCACAGCGATTACTTCCGGATGTATTGAATTTAATTAAAATTAGGATCAAATCGACATCTTGGATAAATAATAAGGACTAAATATATAATTATATCTAAAAGTTAACTGAGAAGTCATTCTCTTAGTTAAATTTTAACTGTTACTTCACCTCCACCGTTAATAGTTATTGACTAATGACTTGATTGAATTATATAAATAATTAAGTGATCTATTTAATCAAATTGAAACATCGATTTGAATGGTCACCCGTGTAGTTTGCACTAATAATAATTCATTAAAGGTACGTCTTCAGTTCATCATACAAGACAGTGTTGAATGTTGGCATTTGAATCGATCGCAAAACGGTAAAGAAATGGCTTTTGTATGGTGAAATGTCTAACAGCGTAAATAAATGGGGGCTCAAAGATCAATCAGGTATCAAAGACGCTGGGGGAATCGTACACATTCCTCCCGCTGCACACGTTGGTGCCTAGTCACACTGCTCTGTTCCTTTTTTCTTTATTGGGTATTTCATCTTTTTAAAGAAAAAAGAAACTTTACAATTTTATAATGTCTAATGCAATGCAAAGGAGAAAACAGAAACCTACTTTTATTTATTGAGTTCTAATCATGATTACTTTAATGAAACAAACAGAAGTATAGCAAGCCGTATCAATAATTGTTTATATAATATTTAAATTAATTAATTTTTAAAGTTTTAGATTAAAAAATAACGTGTGTTTAAACATATATAAATTATATTTTCTTAAATTTTATTATAATTATTGTGTCAATCAAATTAAAATTTAATAGATATAATAATAAAAATTTAAATTTAAATGTATTCTGATGCTAACTAGAAACTTAGTAAACAGAAGAAAGTAAAGAAAGGGCAAAAAAAAAAAAAAAGACAAAAAGTAGGATGATAAAGAGAATGAAAAACAGGTAGGGTAAGGCACCAAGCTTATCTTATAGGAATTTGATAGATAAGTAGCAAATGAGTTAAGATGGATATTCAAAGCAAAAGTTCTTACTTTTTAATTTCCATTCTATGGAACTCTATTCCTAAGATCATCATCCGTTTTTCTTGCTAAAAAAATTATAAAATGTAGGGTAAACAACACAGTTGGTCTCTAATGTTTTAATAACTTTTTGTTTTTCTATTGAAGTTTCAAAAGGAACAAATCAATCACTAAAATTATTGATTAGTTACAAAAAGGCCACTCAACGTTAACGGCCGTTAACAGGTGTTACAAAAACACAATTGGCATGTCAACTGCTGACATGGATGAGTTGACCACCACATTGGAAAGCGATTGAAATCCCTTTAACTGGCAAAAACTTACAGAGACATAAAAGCAAGGTAAAAAAAATCTCATTTCTTTTTTCCCTTTCTACTCTTCTAAGTTTTTTTAGCAGCCCTAAGAAACCTAATCTTGCCCGAGGCACCATGGGATGATCCATCCAAGGAAAAAAAAAGGCTACTTTTTTGTCATCATCTTCCCATAGTTTCGGCAACTATAGAACTTCCTCCCACAATTTTCATTCGTCCAAACAATAACCACTTTAGTTGGGAATCCATAGTTACAAAACGGAACATCCATGGAGTCTTCCGTCTTCACGGGATTTCTCTTACAATTTACGGACAAAAAGTTTAAAGATGAGATATGAATGGAAAATCTTAATTTAAGTTTAGGGATTGAGTTTTTATTTAAAAGAGAAGATGCTAGTCTCCAACGTGGTGGTCAACCCAGTCCATGTAAGTAGTTAACGCGCCAACTGTATTTTTCGTCACGTCTGTTAACGTTTGTTAATGTTGAGTGACCATTTTGTAACTAACCGATAACATTAGTGACTGATTTATTACTTTTAAAACTTCAGTAGGAAAAACAAAAACTTACTTAAACATTAGTGACTAACTATGTAGTTTACCCTAAAATGTACCTGCTTTTTCTCTTTTTCTATGCTCTTGTATTACCAAGATAACATATTCGAGTCCGATTCATGGTTGCTTATAATCGTATGCTGATGCGATTTTCTTTTCTTATTTTGAATATTAGTTATTTATTTAATGTACTAATTAATATTTAAACACTCTTGAAATATTTTAAAAGGGACATGATCCGTTTATATTATGTAAAACTAATAAGTTTGACACTAATTTATAATCATTAATTTTAAAATAAATAAATGACTTAGATTTAATTAAAATTTATTATTCATAAATCTCAAGTAATCCTGTATCACAAATCCTAAATTTTTAAACCCCATTGCTAAACCACAAACTCAATCTATAAACCCTAAACTTTAAATTCAAAATCTTAAATTTTAATTTTTAAACTATAATCCTAATAAGAAAATAATATTTTTTACTGTAAGTTAAAAAATATTTATTTATGAATTATAAATTTTAATTAAATCTAATTTATTTATTTATTTAAATTTAATAACTATAAATTAATGTAAAATTTAATTTTACTTAACTCATTTTAAAATATGATTTTAATTAGCCAAACCAAAACTGTTTATTTATTTAGCATTATATTTATGACTAAAAAAAGGACAATTGTCGATAAGAAAGCATTAATTTAAGAAGATGAGGTGACGTTTGGTTCGCTGTAATGTTTATGAGGGAATTGAATCTGTGAAGGAATTGGAATCTGTCAGGAATTGGAATCCAATTCCATATTTGTTGGTACGCAAGAAATTGAATTGGAATCCAATTTCATATTTTGTTTGGTTCGCAGACATGTCAGATGAATTTGATTTCAATAATGTAAAATGACAGAATTGTCTTTCTTGTTTTTTTACTTAATTTTAGTTTGTTTTATAAATTACATGTAGCAATATATTATAAAAATTTAAAAAATATTAAATTTAATTTTATTGATTGATTATTCATTTTAATCAATTATAAAAATCATGCTAATAATCATCATAAGTTAAAATCATCCCAATTAGGGATGGTCATGGGTCGGGTTTTTGGTCCACCCAACCTGACCCGAGAACAAGGGAACCTCCATCCGAAACCCGACCCGACCCGAATATATGAATTAGAAACCCGACCCAAAAAAATAAAAAATTATTTTTATTCAATAAAAGCATTGACTTAATTGAAAAAATATATATGGAGAGGGTATTATTGTAATTATTCCTAAATATATAAGGTAAAATTATATATTTTTTGGGTCGGGTCGGGTATTTTTCACCCTAAACCCAAACCCGACCCGACCCAAATATCACACTTTAAAAAAAATCGACCAGACCAAAATAAAGTTTCATCCGACCCGACCCGAATATATGAATTAGAAACCCGACTCAACCCGACCCGAAATAATAAAAAAATTATTTTTATTCAATAAAAACAATGACTTAATTGAAAAAAATTATATATAGAGGGTATTATTGTAATTATTTCTAAATATATAAGGTAAAATTATATATATTTTTTGGTCGGGTCGGGTATTTTTCACCCTAAACCCGAACTCGACCCGACCCGAATATAACACTTAAAAAAACCGACCCGACCCTACCAAAACAAAGTTTCACCCGACCCGATCCGAATATATGAATTAGAAACCCGACTCAACCCGAAATAATAAAAAAATATTTTTATTCAATATATGAATAAGTTACCAAAAGATTGATAATGGTAGTATAGTCAAATTTCAATTCCTTCAAATAAGAGAATTGAATTACATTATAGAATGGATAGAATTCACTTTCCCTCATTTGATAGAAAGTTGAAGTCATGAGAGATTCCAATTCTCTTTGAAAACTTGAACCAAACATAGAAAAGTGATGAAATTAGATTTTAATTATCCTAATTTCAAATAATTCCTGCGAACCAAACGCCAGATGAGTTGTTGAAATCAATTTATTAAATGTACTAATGAGACCAACGGTAACATTAAGTTTGGCAGGTTGCTTAAGGGGCAATTTCGGAACAAATCGGAAAAGTTAAAGGGCACCTTTTCCCTATATATATAAAATAAAAAAGAAACTGAAAAAGAAATCCCTCCCCCTCCACAGTAAATAAAGAAGAGAATGAAGACTGAGAGCATATGAAAAAAATAAATCCTTTTTAGTGGGCGGCAAAGTGCCTCGTATTTCGGTGCTTTCTCACTTCATTCCTAGTCTCTATACATCCTCTTTCTCACTCCTTTAGCTTCTTTCTTGATCCTCACTCTCGGTTTCCTTGTTGATTCATTGCGTTCATGCTAAAGTTTTGAGTTTACCCATTCTTTTGGCGGTTATGGCAGCTCCAAAGCCTGAAGAAATAAGCCACCTACCCATGGATCAACTTCAAGGCTTAGAGTACTGCATTGACTCAAATCCTTCTTGGGGTATGTCTTTTTTTTTTAAAAAAAGAATATTTTTTCTTCTGCATTTTCCGGTTTGTTTTGTGTTTGTAACACTCATAGTTTGCTTGTGGAAGCAGGGGAGACTGTAGCTTTGGGGTTTCAGCATTACATTTTGGCTTTAGGAACTGCTGTGATGATCCCTTCTTTTCTCGTTCCTTTGATGGGTGGAACTGATGTATGCCACTTCGAATTATATGCTGAATGAATAGAATTCCTCACTGTTTCTCTTATTTTCTGGCCTTTGGATATTCTTCAGATTTTCTTTCTTTATCATACACACACAAAGCATAAGACGTATGTTTAGCATGAATTTTTATCCTTAATTTTTTTACTTTCTTATAAACACGATTTCTCCCTTTTTTGATGGTTTAGGATGATAAAGTAAGAGTGGTGCAGACACTACTATTTGTTGAAGGGATTAATACACTTCTACAAACACTGTTTGGGACTCGGTTGCCTACCGTGATTGGAGGGTCTTATGCCTTCATGGTTCCCATTATATCAATAATTCATGATACTTCCTTGATGAGTATCGAGGACAATCACGTGGTTAGTACACTTTTCAATCTTTTACTCTGTAACGCTTGCATTTTCATTGTCTTCAATCTTCTTGTGCAAAAGGAGATTCATCAAGGACCTACGGTTAATATTTGTGGGACCTACTTGCTCAGCTTAGTGTTGATT